TCAAACTCAGGAGCTTCAGAACACATAGTAAAATTGAATTAAATGCTTATCAGTTACTGACTAGAGGGTAAGAATTCATGACCATTATGGTCCATTAAGTCGGTTGTAAGTACATTTACTAGCGTATTACATTAGATGGTGGCGGTGTTGTATTGAGAATGAACAAAAGTAGGACTCATTGACCACAGGAATGGCATCGTCTCCATCTAGTCAGCTGAAGGTCTTGGGTTCTACTCCCGGTGAGGATATATTCCCAGACCAGGATAAGATATTTATTTCGACCTTCTTGACTTCCAATGATTGTCTACTTCATTTCGGTTTATGACGTAACCTACGGTGAACCTAGCTATATTTAAACGAAACCAGTATCTGAAGATCTCAATCAATTCGTTATAATAAAACGGAATACTTGGGAAACCACAAATTGTGGTAATTAAGTACTGTTGTTATTAAGACGATTTGCTTTAAACTAAACGGATGAATTAATATCAACGAAAAAGTAGAATAAAACGTCATGTAGTTGCATACAGATTAGATTAGTATGCAATTACATCCCATAAAACTGTAAACACATGAGTTCATATATACATATATATATTTTTTACGAGTTGATCACGGCTTGATATCAGTTAGAGAACCATTGAAAACCACCACGGAGTACTGGACAGCTGTTTCATCCTAGTTTGGAACTATTCATTTTCTTCCGAATCAACTATAATTTATTTACCATAGCTTGTTGATGAAGTCAGCATAGGTTGTGCTAGTTCCATAAAATCTAATATAATAATATTTAACTCTTGTCTAGCCTTCAAATACAGTTTCTATTACATAAAAGTAATAACACAGAGATCTATGTAGTCAAAGGTTTGTGATCTCCCTGTTTCTTCAGTATTTATGCATACTTCAGTAGGTAGCTGGATATTTTATTGTTACCACAGGTGGCATAAAGTAGTAACTCAAAGATGTATTGTTTCTATTCAAAATTCATCATGTTCTGATTTCATTAGGGGGTATCTAAATTACTGAAATTCCGTTACCAACCACTCTAGTGTGCAAATGAAACTTCACTGAAATGCTTAGGAATTTCAGCCACTTAATTCATCGTCCCTATATCAGTAATTGGTACAAACTAGTCGTGTAATATAAACTGATACCTGGAAAGCATGACAAATACACTAAAAACACGACCAAACGCAGTATTATTCTTCCCCTTGATACTGAGTGGAACATTGAGATTCAACAGCATATCACCATTTCACTCTGTTCTCTGAAGTCCTTTTAAGCCTACTCCATAATTTCCTATAGGCTTTTACTTCCTCTTCACACGATCTCCTTCATGCCACCCTCGGACCCATGTCCAACTTTTCGTTACCCATTTGGGTTCCACTCGAGGGCCTAGCTCGCGATGTGACTCAACGATCTTTCCAATGTGTATCCAGTCTACTTTCGACCCTGGTTTTGGCATCCTCATCAGTGCGCCTGTAACTGAAGCCATGCTGCCAAGGCAAGTGAAAGGGAAAACTTTCTCCAATTGGTAGGGATGAATGCTTGTTGCCATTGGTCGGCTTTCTCCACTATTGCTGCCTTCTATATGTTCACCTGAAGTTTTGTCTTAGCTGCCTCTCTTGTCAAAGTTTTGGTTTTTCATACAGTCGGTTTGCTTTATTAGTTTGAATAAAGAAAGAACGAACATATTTGCAGATATTTGGAATTTTTATGACACTAGATATTGGTCGTTCGCGACGTCCAGATCTTCTGAACTTTCCTTGTCGGTCCAGTGTATTCCTGTCGTCTCACTCTCCGCAGTCCGTTCTATGATTCAGTCCACCACAATCAGGAATATCATAGGTGAAAATAAAGTCTTTTCTTACTTCTGTTTTCGCTTCAAAGACTTCGTTGAGATTTCTTTTGTGAATCACTTGGCATATGGCATTATCATACAGCTGCTGAGTAAGGTCTATAAAACTCTGAAGTACTCAGTAGTGTTGAAGCAGCTGCCAAATCACCTCGCGTTCGGCGCTATCAAAAACCTATTCAAAGTCAACGTAGTTGAGCATAACAGTTGATTGTCAATTTACTCCCTATATGGTAATGGTGAGTAGTGTTGCGCTTTTATCCATGTATGATTTGTTTTTGGTGAATGCAGCTTGTTTCGGGCGAAGGTTTATATTTAAAGTATTTCTTAATCTCTCCAGGATGATGCGGCCTGATACTCTGTTTCATTTGGACAGCAATATTATTCTGCGCCAGTTCTCGTGAAAGCTTAGTTCGCCCTTCTTTACAGGTTTTGACAGGATAAACTTTCTTTCCGTTGTCAGGTGCCTTTCCTTCCCTCTAAACCTTCTGCAGTACTGGATTTTTCTGAGGTCTCTGGGTCCATTTTTGGTATTTTAGTGGGAAATGCATTTGGTTCTACAACTTTCAAGACTATAGCTGCTGGAAATTCTTAATCCCACAGCTGTTTAAAAATATCAAGTTGTTTTCAGAATTACGTATATAACATAGAAGGATTTCAGCAGGTAACCAATTAGCATAAACTTGTGATAAATACAAACGATGAAAAAAACGTTCAGCTGTGCAGATTCAGAATCTCAAAGTATTATAATAAAATCGCTGCAAAGAGTAGGAAATCAGTTTAAAGCGAACCTCATTTGGAATATTAACTAAACACACAGTGATTTCTTCTATTCTGATGCTCTTTTTCCTAGCACAGAATAGCTTATTCAAACTGCCAGATTTACTTACACATAAATTTTGTCTTACAATAACTACGGCTATTTTGGTAGATATGTAAATGTATCGTTCCACCTTTTAGCTAATTTAAGACGCTTAATTCTAACTTTGATCTGATACTTCACTAACGAAAGCACTTAACTTTGACCCGATGAATGATGCGTTTAAACGCTCTCTGCCAAACAGTTTTGGTAACTGATTCTAACCATTAACTCTTACACAATAACCGTGACTCCCAGCAAGATATATGGGTATCTAAATAGTTGTTTAGTGAAATCTGAGTGTTTAGTTTTTCAAAATTCTTTGAAGTATTAGAAGGAGTGAAAAAACTGCTAAATATCCGGACGCTAGTGATCATTATTCAAACTAGGATATTTTCTCCGGTGAGCAGACATCTTGGAACTGGCGAATAATACACCATAAATTGTGGTAGACTGAAATCATTTCGTCTAATATCCAGTCATCTTATATGTCCATACACTGCTGGAAGTTTGAATGAGACTCGGTAAATTTATAGTGAGGTTCATATCCGCTGATGACAATTTCAGAAACTAAATAAAAATTGCCGAAGATAGGTAACAGTGTGAACTGTGTATCTGTAAGTAACAAAGGAAAATTAAACTTGTACATAAATCTGCTTATCTTCAGGCTTCAACTTCCAGGTATTACAATAACTCCTGACGGCGAGATTACGTAATTAGATTACGACAGTTACCACGCGTCGGATATAAAAACAGCTTTCCAAGTTGTAAGGCGAGGGATTTTACTGACAAGACAGAATTATTTGTTAGGAATTTTAAATGATAAGAGGTGATTCAAAAGCACTATAATTTTCAAGTACTTTAGAAACACTCTAAATAAGTTCACCATTTTTTATTGTCAGAAACTTTTAAGTGGTCGTACAGCATAAAAATATTATTTGATCTCGTTTTAAGACTAGCAGTTGTACAACGGTATGGAATAGAATAAAATAATTCATACACCTAGATGAAATTTTCTAATTTTTAATTAGGAAGAGTTTCCACAAGATTTCACACGTACTACATGTTCGATACAATTCAAAAGGTGAATAGGCACGTCATGAAATCAGCCACCTCAAGAATTTTTGCCAATAATTAAGATCTAGGGTTTTAAATAGTAAAAATATAAGACAGAAGTTTACATCTGATGCTTTAGTAGCGTTATTTGCACGTAAAAGGAAGAGTCAGCAATGATGATTTTAAGCTCCGCTACAGATCAAAATACCCCACGATAATTAAACATATTAGAGATATATGAAAACTTGACGGGAGACTTTTTCAGTAGTGTTTTATGATCAACTCGACTTATATATACCCTGAGTTCTTTTTGAGGAATTTTACTTATTTATTCATGTTTAAAAATCCTTGCATAGTTCGTTTGTTAGCCGTTCATACGTTTCAGAAATAAATGGTTGAGTTTCTATCCAGAAGTGCGTAGTAAAATAATGTTTACATTTGTATCCAAAAAATCAGGTCCTACTCCACAAAAATTTTTCGGATGTTACATATTCTCCTGTTTTAACTATACTAAACATTCATGTTTTGTACGATATATTTAGTTTTGAAAAATATCTGAAACAGTCTCTAGACTGACAAAATCACCCAAAACGTAACGCAATAAACTAATGCTCTGTATTCCTAATAACCACATAACCCTAGAAGGGTATGCGTTAAAGCATTCTTTGCTTTTCAATGAAATCGATTTGTTAGCAAGCAAGACATTTCCTTTCTTCTTAGAAGAGGGAAAAACCACTGACTTATTCATAACTAACGGCAAAGTATGGCCGAAATTTGTATGATTTTGAAGTGATCTCAGTTAAAACTTGGAAAATATAATGTACAGCTATCTGCAGCCTTACAAATTCCTCAAAAATCAACTCAAATTGCATAGTATTGCAATATAATACTGACTTATAATACATCTGTGGTTCTACCAGATAAAACAATGCTTAAGGGTGTATTCACCCTAAGCTTTGATCCCATTACAAATACGCCTTTTAGAAATAAAATACAGGCGGTAAAAGGTTATGGAGAGAATAGCTGAATAATTCCCGTTCACATAAACTACGTGATCATTAAGCTAAAGCACAAATATACAACGCAAGCGATTGCTAATAAAATACATGAACACAACTCTATTTTTGGTACTAAGAACTTACCAACTTGTTACTCTAAATTTTAAATGACAAAGAAGTAAATTATACGGACAAAAATATGTGGTAATTACCATATTTAACAAAAACTTACCTTCTGGCTTCCATTCTAATTGTCAGAGGTATGCAAGAAAGCTATCAGACAAACTTTTTCTCCAGAAGATGCCAAAGTTTTATTCAATTTGTTACTGCTTGTAGGCTGCTAACACATCAAACAACAGTCACGTACAGCGTATATCTGACAGTATGAAGAAACGCCTAATATAAGTAGCTTCAAATAGCGAATTAAAACAATGAACAAGTTATCCTTTGACGTTGGCTTGAAGCCAAAAGACTACCACACAGAAGCAATGCCTGAGTGCTGGTAGTGGATGAAGACTGTTATCGTGATAACTACGAACAACTCCACCAGTTTGGTAACCATAGCCACATCTTCTAAATAACAGATGGGTACAAAGCGTCTTCTTGAGAGCGGAAGAAGAGCTTAGTTCACATTTGGACTCGTTGGAGGACTCATGCAACTGCTAACTGCCAATAAATAAATGCAACGCAAAAATTCTAGAGTCGGTGGCACAGTGGTTAGGACTCTCACCGACCATGCACATGGTCCAGGGTTCGATCCCCTGCTGACGCACACCCGATATCTATGATCGGCCTGCAAAATTTGAGCTACTGATGTCCATGCTGAAAATGCCATACTTGTACTGAAAATACAGTGTGGCATCAAGCTGTAATCAAAAATAAAAAAATAAAATAAAAATAGATAAAATTACAGACCAAAATTCAGTGTTAAGAAGACAGTATCTTGTGTGGAGCCATAAAGCAATCTTTTGAGTAGTCAAGATATGGTCGAATCTTTTCGTGGTGCTTCAGCACAAAGTTAAACAAAGCGGAAGCAATAGATACGAATTTACCCCAGCAACAAACGTCTCAAAGGTTACTCACCCACAAATAGCTCTAATTATAGTCCTAGAGAACTTAGGGAATCTCTCTCGAAAAGAATCTGATAACATCAAATCACAAGCTCTCTGTGTACTCTAGCTCCAACTGTTCCACTAATTAAGTTATTTTGTCCCTAAATGAATAGACAACAGATACTGATGGAGAGGAACTGGTATATCCCATCTTTTGTTTCATAGAGAGATAGATGAAATTCTTTGCAATAAACATTTACAACATTAATGCTGACAATGTTGGAGTTGACAGACAGTCTGCTGAATGAGCACACTGGGTAACATCTGAATAAAAACAAGATCGTCCACCAGGCTGTAACTTCAGTCACACTGTCTTCTGACTTTTCAGCCTGAACAACCTGAACTAGTGACCAGGCTGTTCTTAACACAGCCCCAACTGATGAAGGGAGAGCAAAACACTCATGGTTGTTGGAAGCTGTACTTATTAACGACGAGTTGAGCAGAGTATGGAGATATTCAATCAAACCACAACGCAGCCACCGAGCCCTTGGTCCTTGGAATTCCAGTTCTTTCGACTATGCTTCAGCCTGCACAGATAAACATGTTGATCCCTGAAGATCCAGTTGATTTGATGGGCACTTTATATCCCCTACAGGAGGAATCAATCACTTGGGCACCTTAGACAGCCGTTCTTTGCTAAGTGTTGTTCTTGATTTTCACACACTTACTTAGCCCCTCAACACTTCACTATGTACATGGTATAAAGTTGTAAATTGCCAAGAGAAATGAGTGGGGGGTCATTTAGGCTGCATGCGAACTTGGCCAAACGAAGATGTCAAACGAAACAAAACCGACGGACTTTCAAAATTTATAAATGTTGGTAACAGCCATCCTCATGCCAGATGAATAAAGGATCTCCTGCTACTTATATGAGACCAACGCCTTCCAAAGAGAAATAGAGGGCCAGCTCGGATTGCGCTCGATGGAGAAACTGGACACACGCTTTCGCTACTCAGGAGGTGCAGCCGAAATTCGGAGACCTCTACGACGTTAACGGGTAGTTGGGTGCATTTACACCTCCGTTTTTGGTGCAGTTGTGTGAACCATACATGGGGTTGCTTATAGATGTCCACAATATCACTACATCATCACCCCTAAGAAGGGATGTGAATCACTTAGAAGTAATAAAGAGGAGGGCCACGAAAACTGTCATCCGACTGGGAAAGGGACAATATGATGACTGACCCCCAAAGCTAAATTACAGTTATCGCGGAACTCGAGGTGACTTATTTGTGGTATCAAAATATTTCATTACCCAAGTCACCTGATAAAAGCTATGCCACAGGGAAGCCGCTACAGTACCTCTCTGGGAAACCCTGACATTTTTTGCCACGCTACGGGAGTAACAATGGTGCAGTTGTAGTTCACTTCAGGCAGATGTGGACACCACTGTGTTAATTGATAGCTTCAAGAGAACAGCAGACTACTATGAAAAATGATAGATTTTCACACATCTGTTTGAGTAGCAGCCTTGTTGTGGGGAGCAATACTTGTCCTACAAACATTCCACATTTTAGTTTATGGACTTCACCATTTACTGTAACTTCTTGAGTTTGTTTCCCTGTAAGTCGGGTTTACTTCGTGTATGCTGTCATTGTTTTGCCTGTCCTTCATCAGTTCTTTTTCCTCATCTTCTTGTCCCCAGGTTCCTTTCCACTCGGCCAGAGCAACTTTCTCTGGAGTTTGTCGACCTACCTGCAGAATTGTTGGGGGAAATGAAGCTAGTAATTTCTATGTGTTACTACCCTAGAACAAACCATGAGTTCACCTCCAAACAAACTGATATACCTTCTTATGTTACTTTTAGCAGAGCTTTAGCAGGTGAAGTAGTACATTTTATGTCCTGGAATCCAGTGAAGGTCAGGACAACCACAAACCAATAAAAAGTGAGCGCTGAGAAATCAAGACTTCTTTCGAGCTTATTCAACGAGATAAATGTATTTCACACTGAATGTTGGGATTTTAAGTTTATGGCCGCATCTATGTAGAGGTAATTCTGAAAGTGGACAGGCTTCTGAAGTACTTACACAACAGTAACGGTTTTCTTACGCTTGATTGTTACCGTTTGGAAACGGCTGTAGAACTTTTGCAGGTTCCAATAATGTAATTCCTCTCTACTGTTGAAACCCGGGCCGAAGCAATAAGAGCAGGTTCATCAGTTCATTCCTAAGGGAATGTATATTTGCACGGCGGTGGCGGCACTGCTGAGACTCTCAAAAAGCTTTTTTCTTGGTAACCACAGGCTAGGCAGACAATTACTTTGGAGAAATCGGCACTAGGTAAGTCGAGGAGAGACCTAGTGGAAATGCGTGCCAGGGAAGCTGAAGGTAGAGGAAGAGGATCGGGCAAGGTGAAGGTGAGGAAGTGGGGGCTCATGAATACAACAGAAAGATAAGAGAAAGGAAAAAGAATTACAGATACGAGAATAACTGAGAAACTGGAATGAAACAGTTAAACAAAAGTAAGGGGGATGTTTTTTAAAATCAAAATTTATATTTCGTACAAATTGGTGTTTACAAGGAATGTATGCCATTTTTACAAATACGAACAGTTATGCTATAAATTACAATCCTGAAGTGAAGTATCATAAATTATTACACTCTCAAAGGTTTAAATTGTTCGATTATTGTACAAGCAATCAGAACATGTTTGTATTAATGTTCACTTGTAAACCCTTCACGAAGGCCACCGTCGAAGTCGAGCGACAACCCAAACTTCGTTCCATTTCCTGATGATAGTTATAGCCAACCAATAAAAAAATACATTTTTGGGTGAGTGCTATGCGCCTACGTGATCGAATACCATTTCAGGAAGAGAAGAAAATCCTGAGCAGCTGCAAAATGGTATAGAACGTAATTGTGAATAATACATTTTTGGAAGTATATTTACAAGATCAATACAAGAAGAAGCTATATAATACTTGAAATGAAAATATACACATTTGCAATGTATGATGCTAACCAATTTGGTTTTACCATGGAAAACTATGACGTTTGCGATGAAAATATGGTTATTCTTAAACATGGATGGCTAGTGACTGAAAGTAGTCATTTGAACACAAAAATAGTACAGTGTATTATACTAACGAAATAAGTATATATGTAAAATATCAAAAGATATGGCTGCTAATACAAATGTTTCTGGAAATAACAACACTGACCGAAATTATTGGCTGCATGGAACAGAAAATCAGTGACCTGGTTAAACGGTTACTGCGCAGTTAGTAGTTTAAACGTCGTAAACACGTGAAAGGTATGACAGTTTTGAGTACTGGAGCCAATTGACTCATAATCTACTGATACGATCAGGGATAAAGGTAGGTTGAATGAACTTCAGGAAAACAGTTGGTTGGCTGGGCTTATTATTGCTAGGTTTTCATGACCACTTTTCATATGGCATGCTTTAGACATTACAAAGTACCAGTTTGCTTATATTATGGAAAAAACTATTACAACCACTTTAGGACGACACATCCAGGATAATTATAGGTAGTCTTGTGACTTTAAAAACCCGATTGATAAAATATTGATAGGATTTCTGATAAGATGAATAACCGAACTTTAGGTCATGCCATATGGGAAACATTGGGCTGATTTTATCAAGTTTTAGATGCGGTACGGTTGCTGGGGCAAATGCGTCTCCTCAAATTGGGGGTGTTGCACTGGGGTCTGTAGTACTAAAGTTATTTGAAGAGCCTATTTTAATAATGAATTCTTAGAGCAAGTTCTTAAAAATTTCTATGACAATAAACAGTCTGTTAATGATGTCATAGCGCCTGTGAAATTGATTAAATTCAAAATCCCTCATGGTGATTTTACTCCAATATCATTAAGAAGAAGTTTGCGGAAGCATTCATTAAGTTACTACCGGCATGACGACTTATCATCGTTAATCGCTATCAAAACAATCCTCATTAGAATCCATGAGTTGAAAAATCTAAGTCTTAGGAATGAAGAAACGCGGGCTACTCTGTCGCCATATATGTAAGGCCTGGTAATGCAGTGGACTACCGTCACAAGACACCACAATACACTCAGCAGCCCAGACAACAGTATAAAGGACGTCCACAGTCACAAATGGCTTAAAGAAACAATTGCTACTACTGCAGGCAGTTTGGTAAGCATGCTCGAACTT